GGAGGAGGGAGGAGCGAGGGCGAGCGGTGCCCGCGGCCCCCCCCTCGGGGCGGGCGCCGCCCCGCCCCGGGCAGAGCTCCACCGGCCCTCTGCTAGCACGGTGCGTTCGATCGTGCGTGGGGAAATAAAAAATAGCCAGGCGGAGTTTAGTACAGTCGGCTCCTTGCGTGTACAGAAAGTGCGGAGTAACATGCACCTGGGGAGCGTGAAGGGTAACGTGTCTCATCAGCTCGTATAAACAGCCACGCCAACTCTTTGCTAGAATTAGTGAGGCTGGGTGACACAAAAATTCTGAAGAGTGGCTTGTGTTACAAAAACAGGTCGGTACGAGCTAAATGGCAGCAATCCTGAATGTGTTTCTGCAGGCTTGCACTTCAGTTTCTCCAGCACGACTCGCCTAAAAATGAATGCAATTCCTCCCCCCGTGCAAAATACAAAACAATCGTTAGAACGTTAACAGAATCTAAACCAATCTGAAAAGCAGCTGCTCCTCTAGTTGCTTGCCATGACCTGAAAGTTCAGATTTTGTTTTTCAAAGCTATAAAAGTGTTTTGGACATCACTAACAATTCAGTGAAATAAGCTGTCTCTAGCTCTTGTGGGTGTGAGGTAGGCACCCGCACCGTACCTTTTCCTCCGCAGTGTTGACTTCCCTTCTGCTAGCACGGTGCGTTCGAGTCTTGCGTGGGAAATAAAAAATAGCCAGGCGGAGTTTAGTACAGTCGGCTCCTTGCGTGTACAGAAAGTGCGGAGTAACATGCACCTGGGGAGCGTGAAGGGTAACGTGTCTCATCAGCTCGTATAAACAGCCACGCCAACTCTTTGCTAGAATTAGTGAGGCTGGGTGACACAAAAATTCTGAAGAGTGGCTTGTGTTACAAAAACAGGTCGGTACGAGCTAAATGGCAGCAATCCTGAATGTGTTTCTGCAGGCTTGCACTTCAGTTTCTCCAGCACGACTCGCCTAAAAATGAATGCAATTCCTCCCCCCGTGCAAAATACAAAACAATCGTTAGAACGTTAACAGAATCTAAACCAATCTGAAAAGCAGCTGCTCCTCTAGTTGCTTGCCATGACCTGAAAGTTCAGATTTTGTTTTTCAAAGCTATAAAAGTGTTTTGGACATCACTAACAATTCAGTGAAATAAGCTGTCTCTAGCTCTTGTGGGTGTGAGGTAGGCACCCGCACCGTACCTTTTCCTCCGCAGTGTTGACTTCCCTGGGTTTTTTTTAGGAAAAACAACCAAGCTTTTCTACCAGTGTCCCAAACTCTTGTGAGATCCAAATGCAGGAACAGGCACATGTGTTGTTACCCTCCCGAATGTCTTCAGTCATTGTCTGGCCTGCAGGTTTTCTGCCTTAGCCGTACTGAACTTCTGAATAGCGCTTGTTGCTAGAAGATCTCAAAAGCACGGACATCGTTATTGTTACCCGATTTTGCAGACAGAGAAACACAAGAAAGTGGAATGGCCTGCTCCATCTTGCTAGGCAGAACAATAGCGGCGGATACAGGTCTTTGAGTCCTAAATCAAGATCCTGTGTCTAAGCAACACTAATCCAAACTCAGAATGCCTCATGAATTTACATGTCAGCCTTGTACGTCTTAGTCCTTTTCTCTGTACAGCAGATAATGGGTGGAAACAGATTTGCCTCGCTCATCCAGTGTGTATCTATCTGAGCTGACTCAGGGTGTAGGATGTGGACAGAGACAGCCTAGGTAGCACTGAGCAGTGCTGTTGCCTATCACTGTCTGCGCTGTTCTCCCCGCTGATTTGCTTTCTGTTATAAATTCAATGAATTTGAATTCTGGATTGCATTTCCCCACCATGCATTCAAAACTGAGCTATCAAAAGAGAGAAGGTAAGCGTCCCACCTCTCCCGGTGCTTCTGGGGTGGGGGTGGGGGCAGGAATCTCTATTGGTGTTCCAAACGTTAGCATTCCCTGTTCGAGGTACTGTATAGTTCTGCACTTTTCCCTGTACATCTCTAAACCATTTACCCTTTATTGCTTTTCCACGGTGCTTCCTTATAAGTATCACGAAGGACTTTACAATCACCAAACTGTTGCTGTCTGAATTTTTTAGAATATAACTGTTACAAGTTCAGCAGAGGTTTATTGGTGGAATATTTCTTCCTGTTCTGCTGAGTTTCTGCGTTTAATCATGCTTTGTACACAATATCAATTTCGTAGGTTCCTGAGTATGTAGGAAGGTCCTCTCCCTTATCCATGAATAAAATTACTCTTTGGTGAACGGACCTACAAAAGGATGGGCAAGAACATCAGATGACTTGAAAGGGTTGTCAAGCACTGGAACAGGCTGCCCAGGGAAGTGGTTGAGTCACCATCCCTGGAGGTATTTAAAAGACTTGTAGATGTGGTGCTTGGGGACATGGTTTAGTGGTGGACTTGGCAGTGCTAGGTTAATGGTTGGACTCGATGATCTTAAAGGTCTTTTCCAACCTGAACGATTCTATGGTTCTATGACTGTGAGCGCTAAGACACTGGCTGTTAATTCCCTTCCTTTTCTTTATGAGAGTCTTTCTCATAGAATCACGGAATAGTTTGGGTTGGAAGGGACCTCTAAAGGTCATCTAGTCCAACCCCCCTGCCGTGGG